GTCCCCCTCCCCCCCCCACAAGCATGTCTTTTTTTTTAGCAGGGTCTACCTGGCAACCCTAGCTGTGAGCAAGACACGAGATTAGGCCTCAGTTGGAGTATTGTCCCCGGCTCTGGGCACCAACTTTCAAGAAAGATGTGAAGAAACTGGAGAAGGTCCAGAGAAGAGCAACAAGAATGATTAAAAGGCTAGAGAACATGAGCTATGAGGGAAGAAAGAATTGGTGTCTTTTTTTTTAGCAGGGTCTACCTGGCAACCCTAGCTGTGAGCAAGACACGAGATTAGGCCTCAGTTGGAGTATTGTCCCCGGCTCTGGGCACCAACTTTCAAGAAAGATGTGAAGAAACTGGAGAAGGTCCAGAGAAGAGCAACAAGAATGATTAAAAGGCTAGAGAACATGAGCTATGAGGGAAGAAAGAATTGGGCTTGTTTAGTTTGGAAAGGAGGGGACATGGTAGCAGTTTTCAAAAGGGTGTCACGAAAAGGAGGGAGAAAAATTGTTCTCCGAGGGTAGGACAAGAAGCGATGTTTTGCAGCAAGGGAGGTTTAGGTTGGGCATTAGGAAAACCTTCAGGGTGGTTAAGCACTGGAATAAGTTGCCTAGAAAGATGTGGAATCTCCATCACTGGAGATATTGAAGAGCAGGTTGGACAGACATCTGTCAGGGATGGTCTAGATGGTGCTTGGTCCTGCTGTGAGGGCAGGGGACCAGACTTGACCTCTCAATGTCCCTTCCTAGTCTAATGTTCTATGGTTCATGCCGTTCATAGTCTCTAGCTGTGACCGCTAGCGAGAGCCTAGATTTGTTGTGGGCTCCTACCCACTAGGAACCGGATTGAAAGCATCTTTGCATTTCATGCAGACACTTGAAACACAAATAGTCTTACAATGATAATCCCCTGAGGTGCCTGTCCCTGAGCCAGGTTGGACCTATAGTGGCCTACGAGGGAAACATTTCAACCCTTTTATGGGTCTCCCCACATTCCTCTTTTCAGGGCACCATTCCAGCCGTTCCTGTTCACATGCGAAAAGCATCTTGGAATGCAGCTTTGATTCTGTTTTTCCTCCCGCTAGAGGCATTCAGATAGAGCTGTTAGTCTGTGTGTGTATATTCCTGTTTGTGTTCAACCCACCCTGAGAAAGCACTAATGAAATACCAGCTGCTTACAGAAGCTCTGTTCAAACCGCTGTTACCACGTTCTCTGCCAATAGCTTCTTTGGCTCAGCTGTTCTCCTATTACAGATTCCTATCTGCCTACATTAGGATTTTATGCTGCTGCCTGTCAACACAGACGCGGAACGTTTTTGGTACACTTTTATTAGCAATCAGCGAAGTCGGCAGTGGAGCACAGGGCCTCTCTGAACTTTCTTCCTTTCTTCCAGCCCTTCGTTCACCATGGCTGTGTCGAAAAAAGTAGCCTTTTTCGAAAAAACATCACCTGCGTCTAGACTGCAGCCGCGTTCTTTCGAAATTAAATCGAAAGAACGCGGCTTTTCTTTCAACAGCAGTAAACCTCATTTCACGAGGAAGAACGCCTTTTTTCGAAAGTGCTCTTTCGAAAAAAGGCGTTCTTGAATACTAACAGGGCTTTTTAGAAAGAGAGCATCCAGAATCACTCGCTGCTTTCTTTCGAAAAAGCAGCTTGCTTTTTCAAAAGTACTGCTTGCAGTCTAGACGCTCTTTTTCGAAAGAGGCTTTTTCGAAAGATACTTGCAGTCTAGACATAGTCTAACTCACTGTGTCAGACTATAAAGTTTCATTCCGGTGCTGTGTAATATTTGCAGAACTGTGGCCTGCCTTCGATACTGGACGGCCCAGGACCCTTCACTGTGTTTGTGCCAAGCAACGACGCGGTGGATAAGTTAAGAGATGGGAGGCTGATTTATCTTTTTACAGAGGTGAGATTAATCTGAGTTTTGGTTGAATCCACCTTGTGGCAGTGAGAAGGGCTTGGGACCGAGGGGGCGGGACCAGTTAGTCGATCAAAGTGGTGCTGGCCAATTCCAAATGTTATGCAAATGCTCACATGCACATGATGAGCTTATCTCAAATACAAGTTGCTCTTCCCCTGCTTGAGCAAAGCCGGTCCCAATTCCTGTGATACTCCAGAAGGAAGCTTTTGGTTTTCACGCAGATTGTGGCCAGCGGTGGCAAATGTAGCAAAAGTTTGGCTACGTCATTAAATGCAGTTCATGTATTGAAAGTTTGGTTAGATTGTTAAAAAGTTACCTTTCAAATAAGGATGCTGTAAAAATCCATGTATATTTCAAATTCACTGGTTGCCAGCACACTTTATTTCAGCCCTGGCTTCTTTGTGCCCAATGTCGAAAGAGCATCTAATTATTATCTAATTGCCATTATGGTCTCCATTTCCCTCCCTAGGGGATCAATAAGCTTCAAGAGCTTGTGAAACATCACATCTACACCACAGCAGCGGTAAGGCATCTGTGTTTGCTGATCCTTCGGGCCAGCACATCATTAGGAATTGTCTTGTGTCCAATTCATCAGCGTCCTGCTAGCTACCTCTTCATTCCTTAGCTTTCCCTCCGAGGAGTAGAGGAGAGAAGCCCTGATGCAGCAAAGCACAGAAGCATGCCAGTCACCCCGCTGACTTCAGTGGGTCTACTCACATGCTTAAAGTCAATCGGGAGCTTGCCTCGCTCAGGGCCCTAATTATTAAACCCTGGGTCCCTTGTCGGGCGTGATCTCCTTGATCGTTTGTCTTTAGAATGAAAATGCTGCTCCCCAAAACCGGAGAGGGACAAATGGGTGGTTGTCCCCCGTCTTGTTTTCAAACAGTTCACTGGAGGATTTATAAATCAGGCCGCGATAGCAGCCAGATGTTTGTCCCTTTTGGGTCGACGTCACCCAGGGTGTTAACTGCATGACCGCAACTGGGTTCGCACAAGGTCTGACTGTTGTGGACTCTGTTCCCTGGGGTGGTCTCCTATTTCCAAAGGGATCCCGGCTTCCCCCCCCCCTTATTGTAGATGGTTTTGCATCCAATGTGGTATTTGTGAAAGGCGTCGCGTCGCCAGTCTCGGCCACGCGACGGGTACGGCACAGAGTGGCGTGGCCCCACCAACGTGATATAAATCCGGAGGGAGTTCAGTCTTCAGGCCTGCTTCCTACCTAGCTTCGCCGTAGTTGCTGGGATTGCCCGCAAAGGAGTCAATTAATGCCCGTTTTGTTAGTGGCTTTTGCGGTGTGGACACCTGCCCACTGGGAAGTGGACTGAGATCCACCAAACTCACTGCCCACGTGCCACTTGAGTACAGATGCAGGCAACGACGTTTGTTCATCAGCTCATATCTACAGCCAAATAAGGAAACCGTTATCGTTGCTTAGGTTTTGGGCATTGAATATGGTTATAATGAGGCACTGGGCATCCCTTCAGTCCCGGATGCCATGATTTTCTGCAAACATTGTGACTTCTGCAGCAGCCAGTGTGGCTGGGCCCTGGGCTGCCCACGCAGCTGGCTCTGGGGACAGCCCCTCGGGCCGCTGCTGGAGCAGCTCTGCAGACAGCCACTTGGACAGCCCTGCCTGCAGCCATCACTGCTGGAATGGCCCCAGGCAGCCAAGCAGCAGCCAGTGTGGCTGTCCCAGGGGTGGGTGGAGCAGCTGCTGTTCAGTGACCCTCTGCTTGTCCCAGCCCCTATGAGGTCCCGTCCCCCCCAGAGCACTGGCCCCCCAGGGCACCCTTCCCAGCAGCATCCCCTCCCCGAGATTGTCAGGGACATTTATAGTAGAAGTCCCAGGCTCTGATGTTTTGTTTGTTGCCCCATGATCCGTCGATGACTTTTCCTAAAACCACCAGGGACTAAATAGCAGCCTTAGTCGTGCATGTTGCAGAGGGAAGTTTGAATAATAAAGGCAACCAACTTCTCACAGCCGGCTGAGGGGGGAGTGTTGGTAGTGACTGTGAACTGCACACACCTGTCTCTCTCCCCCTCCTCCTCCTGTGTGCGTTTCATGGCATCGTCGCCTTTCGGGCTGTCTATTTCAGGTGACCGTGGGCAAGCTGACAATGATGCCTCAGATTATAACCATGGCGAACCAGATACTGACCATCAATGTCACCGAGGACGTAAGCACCATGTGCCCGCCATGGGCTCACACCACAGCCCCGATATAAACCCTCGGCACTTTGGGAAAGTTTGGTTCTGAGTGGGAATTCTGCCACTCGGGCCAGCTCTGCTTTGTCCTCTGCTTGATGAGCTCAATTTACTTAAAGCCAGCATGCACCTCCCCTCCTGCTCCAGGCATGGCTTCCGCTAGGAAAGGGGTGGGTGGGTGTGTGTGTCAGACAGACAGACAGACAGACAGACAGACAACCACCTTGTAATTTACCAGCATGTCGCCTGAAATAGTCCGAGTGGGGATGATGTAGAGAATTGATTTTTGTTGCGTTTGGGGGTGGTCTTTTGAAATAGGGCCAAATTCTACTGGGTGATCCTGGGATTCCCTTAAGCAAGAGGGACATTGTGGCATCGAATGGAATCATTCACACCTTGGATGGCATCTTCATTCCTCCTTCCATCATCCCCATTCTGCCTCAAGTATGCAATGAAGAACAGCACAAAATCGTCACAGTAAGTCCGTTTTTCCCCCTCTTATTTTCCCCCACTGGAGGCTACAGAAAATACCTTCTGTGCTCAGTTACTACGTGTGTCTCTGTATTCCCATCCCCACTGGGATCCCTGCTGTGAGGGATCTGCCAGCCAGTGAGCATTTCTTCTGTGAATGCTTCCACACGACCTTGCTAGGAAGTCAGCTGTTTTCTCTTCGGAATTTGTTTTTGACCAGAGTTAAAGCAGCTCTTTTCTTCTACCCAAGATAGCCGTGACTCAGCTCTTCAGAGGGCTGCTATTTGGGAATTGTTCCAGATTCAATCTTTCCTGGTTGTATATGAGCTGCCAACCAGTCTGATAATACTTTATCAGGCTCTGAACTTCTGTCTCCCATTGGTGAGGGTCCTGGGGGTGCTGCAGCACCCCTGGGCTCCCGGCTGCTGCCCTATGCACCAGGAATTGTGCTAATAGCATTTCCCTTCCATGCCCCCCCCCCACCCAAGCAAACCTCTCCAGCATCCCTCATTGGAGTGCCACATTCCCTCCGTCCCCCACACGTTCCTTGCTTCTGTTGAGAATCATTTACGTCTGACATGAAGACTCGCTGCGCTGAGGCTATAGACAGTCATTTACACAGAGGGAAGAAGCTTCACAGCAGGTTACATTTCCTGCACGGATCGGCTTTTTGTGCCCCTTACTCAGAATGGTTTTCACGCCCAGTGTCCCACATTTGGGCCACTGAGAGCTGGTGCGTGTACACGCTTCACAGAACCCCACTGAAGTCCATGGGGCCTTGCACAGGCCTGAGGTCCCCTTGTGCGCATCTCCGTGCTGGATCGAGGCCCCAGTAATGGCCCAGAAGTGACATCAGAGTCCATGCTACTGGGTGTCGTGAGACCTACAGCACAGCTTCCAACTTAGCTACAACTGACTGTCTGCTAACCAGCGGCCCTAGGGATTTGTCCTCATTGCAGAGAGGTGCCTGCGTAACTTCTCTGCTGCTGCTTCGAGGCGCGTCCCTGTGGGTGCTCCACCTTGTGCGTCCAGCCAGAGACTTTCGGTAGCAGTGCCCTGGCTGGCCGTGCCTGCGCGGACGCCACCTTGTGCAGCTAACCTATCCCCTGTCTCCCACCTCTGGCTCAAGTCAGAGTGACAGCGGTGCTGCAGCTTTTCAATCGACATTTTGATTTCTTGGATTACTTTTTTGATTTGTCTCTTTGGATTTCTTTACATTTCACTTTCCGCTAACGGAGACCATTTCCTGGGTTTTGTCTTTCTTTATTTAAAAAAAAAAAGGCTTTTATTGCATTGTCCCTCAGCTGCCATCTGCTGCCGGCCACTCAGACTATCAGACGTTGACAGTGGGTCGGCTGGTTGTAACTCTGCACTCCTGCTGCATGGCTCCGAGCGATGCCAGGTTCAGCTGCATTTAAATGCTGCCTCTCCTGCCGGTTATCCATACCGGTTTCAGACAGACATGCTCAATGTGTCCAGTGCCTCAGGAAGACCCACATCCTTCAAAAATGTCCCCACTGTAAAAAAAAAAAACCTTACGGCCCGGACGCTAAATACTCAGGATCGGCAACTAAAATGACTGTTGATGGAGAAATCCCTGCGACCTGCCTTGGACCCTGGGTCCAGAAGGTCTCCACTGAGGTAATCACCTACCCCTGCCCTACAAGGACTCTGCTTCCACAGCCATGGCCAAAGACCCAATCCCCAGAAAGGCCACCAAACATCAAGCCCAATCATCATTACCCTGAGACCACCAAAGCGAAAATGATCTGCAGTCCCAAAATCTGCCTCTGTACCGACGGCACCAAAAATCTCGGCCGTTAAGGCACCGGGTATGTTCAGCACAAGGAACCGCTGCCTCGCAGGCAGGTTCAGCGCCAACGGTGCCTAAGTCCACCTCAGCACCTAGCGGAGAAAGAGCGCCACCTTCTGCCACACTGCCGCCTCAAGAACCCTGGCACCGACCTCATCGCTCTAGCCTGCTGTCCCTGCCGCTGACCTTCCCGTTGCCACAACCCTTCACTGCGCGTCTCTTCTATGGCTGGCATTCTGGTCAGACCAGCTCTGAGCCAGGCTCTCACTCACGGCCCTTCAGGGCCCGCCTCCTTCCAGCACCGGTGAGGAAGGCAGTGATCCAGGCTGGGCCCTTGGGGCCTTGCGTAGAACCCAGAGCACCAGGCCTCCTCGTTCTGTCCTCTAGAGTGCCTGGCTCTCCTTCCATGGAGGCCCCCCTGCTTCAGGAGCCTCCGAGTGAAGGTGAACCACTGCCCTGTGCGTTCCTCCTTATCTCCAGAGGGCACCCCTGCCATTGGGGGGTGACTGCCGGTTCTTTCAGGGCCTTTTCAAGGGGCTTGCCGAGACCCTCTCCAAATCCTTGTCAGAGCTCCCTGAAACCCAGCGTAAACTCACAGACACTCTCCATGTGTCGCCCTCAGTCACAATAGTCTTGCCAACCAATGTCGCCATCATGGAGCCAGCTCAGACTGTTGGGCAGACGCTCCCACGGTGCCCCCAAACTGCAAACCCTCTAACAAAAATAGTGTGTCCCTGCCAAAGAGCCAAATTTCTCTTTACCCATCCGGCCCCCAACTCACTAGGCATGGAGGGAGGTATATCAAAGGGACAAGCAACAACAGTCCAGATCTACCCCCTACAACAAGGACTAGAAGAGGCTCGACCTGCTGGGGCGAAAAGCCTATTCCTCTGCCACCCTCCAGTTCTGCATGGCGAACTACTCTGCACTGCTAGCAAAGTACCCGCAGTCTCTTCACCAACATGCCGTCCTTTATGGGACGCGTCCCCACGGGCAGGAAAGACTCCTACAAATCCAGCGTCTCTGAGGGCTCCCTCATTGCCAGAAGGCCCCTCCAGGCTTCTCTGGACTCGACCGATACGGTATCCTGCTCCATCACGACCTCCGTTGTCAGGCACCAGGCGTCTGAGCTCTGCCTGTCCAAGTTCCCCAGAGAAGTTCAGGGGATGGTCAAGGGTTTGCCCTTGGAGGGCCACAGACAGTTTGCAGAGGCTACAGACACATCCCTATGTACTCAGAAGGACTCCCAGGCCACTTTGAAAACCCTCAGAATCTGCGCCCCTCGCAACAAAAAGAAACGGAAAAGAAAAGAAACAGAAAATTTGACAACCCAAAGTTCTGGGCCCTGCGCTGCTACTCAGCCACAGCGTCACTACTCCCAACGCCAAAGAGAGGGACCCCAGACCAGATCTCTACATCCCAGTTATCCAACCCTCAGCAATCTTTTTAAAAGTATGATCCAGAATACGAGACCTTTCCTGTCACCAACTCCACTGTGGTCTCACTTAGACACCATGGCTATGTCTAGACTGGCATGATTTTCCACAAATGCTTTTAACGGAAAAGTTTTTCCGTTAAAAGCATTTGCGGAAAAGAGCGTCTAGATTGGCACGGACGCTTTTCCGCAAAAGCACTTTTTGTGGAAAAGCGTCCGTGCGAATCTAGACGCGGTTTTGCGCAAGAAAGCCCCGATCACCATTTTTGCCATCAGGGCTTTTTTGCTCAAAACAATACCGCGTTGTCTACACTGGCCCTCTTGCACAAAAGCATTTGCACAAGAGGGCTTTTGCCTGAACAGGAGCAGCATAGCATTTCCGCAAGAACACTGACAATCTTACATGAGATCGTCAGTGTTCTTGCAGAAATTCAAGCAGCCAGTCTAGACAGCTGGCAAGTTTTTCCGCAAAAGCAGCTGCTTTTGCGGGAAAAACTTGCAGTCTAGACGCAGCCCACTTGATCTGACTTCCTTTTACCCAGTCTGGAACGACAGACAGATGGGTCCTGGAAATGATCCATCAGGGTTATTCCATCCCCTTTATTTCTGTCCCTCCCACCTTTCCCTGTCCCTTTTCAGGGACCTCTCTCCAGCTCCCCCTGCAACAGGAAATGAACTACTTCATAGAATCAAAAAACAGGACTATGCAGCACTTTAAAGACTAACAAGATGGTTTATTAGGGGATGAGCTTTTGTGGGTCAGACCCACTTTCTCAGACCCACGAAAGCTCATCACCTAATAAACCATCTTGTTAGTCTTTAAAGTGCTGCATAGTCCTGTTTTTTGTTCCAGCTACACCAGACGAACAAGGCTACATTTCTATCTCTATTCATAGAACCAGTACCTCCTCAATGTGTAGGTGTGAGCTTCTATTCCTGTTGCTTTCTGACCCAGAAGAACAGGGGCGGTGACCTATTCTGGACCTATACAAGCTCAATAAGGTTTGCATGGCCCCAACTTTTCAAAATGGTACCCTTGTAGCCCTAACTCCCACCTTGGAGAAAGGAGACTGGCTCTCGCCCCTTGATCTGAAGGATGAGATCTGTGCCGCACACAGGGGAGGTCTGTGTTTTACACGACACCAGCAACACTTCCAATACAGAGTCCTCCCCTTTGGCCTGTCGACTGCCCCACGCATATTTTCCAAGGTACTAGCTGTCGCCGCAGCTTGCCTTAGCCAGCTTGGTGTGGTTATTTTCCCACATTTGGACAACCGCCTCCTACGTGCACCAAGGCAACACGCAGCGAACCTCTGTTCCATCTTCGGGCTGCAAATACACTTTGAAACGTCTCCATTCGTGTCGGTCCATCAGCTGGAGTGCATAGGGGCTCATCTCGACTACTTCGCTGCAAGGGCTGGTCTAGCAGTGAGTCGTCAACCTAACTGCTTTCGTCATTGCCACCCTGGACAGCCTCCAGGACACGTCTGTAGCTCCTGGGCCGTGTGGCTGCCACCATCAATGTTCCTTCTAATCTTTCCCATCCGTGTGCAGAACAAATTTTTCTATGTACACCAAGGCTTGAGCAAATGTGCACCACCAATTGAGATGCAAAATGTAGCTGTGGGCACCCTGCTAATCAGCTGAGTGGCATTTGACTATCTCCCGAGTGGCTGCCCAAGCACACAGCTCGCAGGGCATACTGGCCACAACATACACGGTCACACATGCCAGGCTCCACATGAAGTACCTGTCGTCCTGCCCCTGCACCGTACCGGTCAAATGAAGGTCCCTGCGCGGCTCTCTCCGGGGGTGGCTGCAACCACACAACGTCAATTCCAGCATCCCATTCCGAAGACCGCCCTTCTGGGATGGGGCACCCACACTACCAGGGATGTGGCTCAGCAGCGGAGGTCACCGTCTGTGTAAACACTCGAGACTAGAGCTCGGGGCAGTCAGGAAAGCCTGCCGGCCCGTTCTCCCCCTCCCCCCACACCGCCGTCCGAGTCCTTCCTGAGAACACAACCTGCATGTCGTCCCCAAACCACCCGATCACACCCCTGTGCGCGGAGGCCATGGCTCTCTGGAACTGGGGCCTTTCCCACAGTGTGCACCTCTCAGGCCTTCAGAACACCACTGCAGATCACCTGAGCACAGTGGTGTAGCGACGGGGGGACAGTTGCCTCCTGGCACCACACTGGGGAGGCACCAATTTAATCCCCCTCCGCTCCCCCTGTCATCGCTCAACTCGCCTGCTCCTCCTCTGCCTGCCGCTGCCAGCTGGGGGCCCCCCCCCGCCCTCCTCCATCTCCACCGGCGGGTTAGTGCATGGGGAGGCCCGGCCCCAAACTGGAGGGGACGGGGGAAGATGTGGTACAGGCTCCCCTCCTCCTCCCAGGTTCGGGGCCACGCTGCGTGTCAGCGGTGGAGGGGAGGCACAAATTTTGTCTTTGCCCCATGGCGCATAACACCCTCGCTACGCCTCTGCCTGAGCAGGCCCACGAGCGTGTTGCTCTTTTCACCTGACGGGGAGTGTCCGTGGTAGGCCTCTTCTCATCTGCATGCAGCACCAAACGCCCACGCTATTGCTCCTGCGCGGGCCTTAGTCTCCAGTCACTGGGCGAGGCACGACTCCTAAAATGGGAGGCACCACAGTTATATCCCTTTCTCCCCACCCCACCGCTCACACAGGTAATGCACCAATCAGGCAGGATGGAGGCAGAGTTATTCTAATCGCGCCCCCAACTAACTCGGTTCCCCTCCCTGGCACAGATGGTGGAAACTCTCACTAATGCTGCCCTTCTCCACCTGCTCCCCTAGGATGGAGGTGCATTGTTCACCCCCACCTAGGGCTTCTCCACTGCTAGGTCTGGCTACTACATGCAGAGAGCACTTGGAGGACGACTGCTCTCAGGACGTGGAAGATGTCCTTGTGAATAGTCCTCGGCCGAATACGTGCAAATTCGTACACTTGGAAATGGCTCTGATTCTCCTTGTGGTGTGGATTTCATGGCAGGTCTCCTCACTCCACTCCCTTACCAAAGGTCTGGACTATTTCTTAAGCCCCCCAAAACCAGGCATTTCCAACAGCTCCATAAAGCCACGATCACCTCACAAAACAGACAGCACCTCTGTCCTTCACCCATCCCACTAACAAATGCTTTCTGGAGGTTAACCAATGTTTTCCCTACCCTCATGTGGGACCTTAACCTTGTACAGCCTTGTGGGCTAACCTTTTGGACCCCTTGTCCCATGAGCTCGCCTGCACCCATCCACGGAGGTCGCCTTTCCCGGAGTGATCACAACGGCACAGAGCGGTGGAACTGGAAGTCCTAAGGGTCCTCCACCCCATATACGCCGTGTTTCAAAAGGAAAAGGTCATCCTCACCCCCACCCCAATTCATACCCAAAATTGCCTCCTTGTTCCACCATCATCAACCCAAATACCTACCCACCTTCTTCCCAAGCCACCTGCAGATGCCAGGGACGCCGGCCTCCACGCGTTCCACGTACAAGGAGCGCTCGCCTTCCACCAAGGCGGGACAGAAACCTTCAGGAAGTTTCCCCATCTCTTCCTGAAGCCCTCTCCAAGCAGAGGCTGTTGAAATGGAGGCAGCCGGAAACCTGCCTGTTACCAGAATTCTGCTCCAGCCAGTCAGAGCTCGTCCCACCCCTGCACGCTCAGCACCCACAACCTTCCCTCACAACGTGCCCAGAGTGGACACTTTGAGGGCTGCCCCTTGGGCTTCTGTCCACAGCGTGGTGAAGCATTCAGCCCCGCAGCGGTGCGCGGGCTCGGTACTGCCCACGGTCCAGACAGTCATTCCAAAGCCCCTCCCGCCTGCTCCATAGTCATGTGGAATGGAGCACGCCCAGGGACATGCCTCGGACAAGATGGCTACTCAGCTTGTGCCCTCACTGAGGTTCTTCAAGGCGGCTGTCCCTGTCGGCGCTCCACCCCCCTCCTCTGCAGCAGAGCTCACACCGACCCTTGTGGGCAGAGGAGGAACTGGGGGGGCGGTTGGTTGCACATGCAATGTAGCCCCTCTAAGTCACACAAGATGGCTTCCACGTGAGCACAGCCAATCAGAGCTCTGCTACCGAAGTCTGACTAAACGTGCAAGGCACCAAGACGTCGAAGGCAGAGCACCCACAGGGACGGCCACCTCACAGAAGCTCAGCTACTGCACAAGGAGAGTAACAGTCTCATTTTGAGATGTGGTCGATTCCCACAGAAATGATCTGGGAAGCGTTTTCTTTACATGGAAAAATTCACCTTGTTCCTGAACCTTTGCTGCTTAAAACTTCTTTGGTCGTATTTCTTATGGTGGGAAAAGTGTCATGCAGCATTTCTGGGGTGGTGTTCTTGTACAAGCATAAAATGGGGCTTGTGTGTGCGCATGTGTAAATACTCTTATGGGATGGACTTTTCTCCTCTTGCTTTTATAACAGGGCTCTTGTGTTGATTGTGGAGCCCTGAACACCAGCGTTTGCCCACCTCAGAGCACAAAAATGGTAAATACCTTGTTGTTTCATTGTACTAGCCATTGTACAGATACATAGTAAGAGTGCTGATAAACAAGCTACACGGACAGACAATGGGTGGCAGGGGAAACTGAGGCAAGGTGAGGGGGAAGTAATTTGTTCAAAGTCACACAGCACATCCGTAACAAAGCCAAGAATGTAACCCAGGTCCCTTTGGTCTTAGTTGAGTGTTTAATCCAGTGGTCTATGCTGCCTCTGGTTTGGAAGTGCGCAGAATTTAATCACTGTAGTGATCTGAGCCACTGTGTGTGTAAAATGAAACTAGACTTGACTGTTAACACCCTGACTCAACTGGAGTCAGAACCCTCGCCTTCCAGGCACATCTGAAAGCCCAGCCATTGTCGTCCCACCCTCTTTGTCTTGATAATCAGCTGTCCCTCAAAGGAATCACCAGTGTTGATTCTACAAAACTGTGTTTCTGCGCCCATGGTAGGACTATGCACATGAGGGCTGTGTCTACACTGGCAAGTTTTTCCGGAAAATCAGATGATTTTCCGGAAAAACTTGCCAGTGTAGACACAGCCCTCATGTGCATAGTCCTACCATGGGCGCAGAAACACAGTTTTGTAGAATCAACACTGGTGATTCCTTTGAGGGACAGCTGATTATCAAGACAAAGAGGGTGGGACGACAATGGCTGGGCTTTCAGATGGGGCTTTTTTGCGGAAAAGCGTGTCTAGATTAGCCACGGACGCTTTTCCGGAAAAGCGTCCTGCCAATCTAGACGCGCTTTTCCAAAAATGTTTTTAAAGGAAAACTTTTCCGTTAAAAGCATTTCCAGAAAATCATGCCAGTGTAGACGTAGCCGTTGTGTCTGATCACTGAAAAGATACAGCAGACCTGCTGGGTGGGGGGCACTTGTACAGCCCAATTCTCCACGGGTGGGCCTGGCTGATTTTTGGTTCAGACAGCCTGACGTGGCCTGTGTTGAGTCTGGCAGTCTGGGAGGAGTCCTCCATTGGAGCTAACTGGCAGTGTGGGTGGAGCTTGTCTGAGGCGTCTTGGAAGCGTCGTGCTATGTGGTATCCCTGCCAGGGGCGACCAGCACTGTTTGTAGTTGCAGGTGGAGTTTGGGTCCATCACCTCTGCTATTGGTGCCAGTGTGCTGGGTCACACGTTCGTTCTGCCTTCTTCCTACTCCCTGCTGTGTGAATGGTTTTGCTGCAGTCCTTATTCAGTCCAGACTCCCACTAGAGTCAGTGCATGAGTGAAGGGTGTCAGGCCAATCTCAGACCCAAGAAAAACATAGGGTGAGATGTTGTAAAGACCTTATTGCATTCCAAAACCGACCTGGGGGCTTAAGGCAAGAGCTGTGCAAAACCTGATTCATCAGGGCGCTAGACATATTGAAAAATGTGTTTGCTTTTAGACAAATAAAACGTTTTTTTTCAACCTGAAACAATGTTTCCATTTGGCTTGTGACAGATCTCAAAGGGGTGTGATTTTCAGAAAAGCCCCTTTGTGGTCTCTCACGTTGGACATCGAAACACGGAGCCTCCAAAACTCACTTGTCACTTACGAAAATCTTGGCCTGAAGTTTGCCCTCCAACTGTAACGGGTGACATTAAAGACCTCGTTCATCCCCAGAATAGCTCCTCTGAAGTCACTAGAGTTGCCCCGGGGATTATTTCCACTGCTCCTCTTTCTCTGTACGGGAGCGAGAGCAGTTTAACTGGCTCCTATCGTGTGCATTGTGGGCTTGTTAACCAACCAATGGAGAGACTGGTGTGTGACCCCGTTTAAGTAACAGCGTTGTTCTGCCATGGCACAAGCAGTGTGGTCAGACCCGATAGCCATCAGTGAGGCCTGATTTATGGACTCCTGCAAGGCGCAGGAAGCAGTTGCAGGCCTTCCAGGACAACAGGCTCTTCATCACAGTCTGTAGTTCACCTTGGCACACTCATGAACCTCCTCAGGTTGCGAGAGACCATGACCTTTTGCCGCGCGGGACAGGGCGGAAGCATGAACGTGGCTGTTGCATTGATGGCTTGTTTCATTTCCGAAGGCTCAGGAGATCTTTCCAAGCGAATGCGTCTATGTCCAGGATCCTTCAGGCTCGAACATCCTGAAAAAGGGCTGTGCCAGGTACTGCAATCAAACCATTGTGGTAAGTGTGATGCAAGGACCCGTTCCCTGCCAAGGGAGGGTCTCCTGGCTCAGCTAGAGAAGTTTTTGCCTTCTTCCACGTGGTTCCCATCAGAATGCTCCCACATAAAGGGGGTGTTTTTCCTGAAGTCAGGAGGTGTGATTGCAGCAGGTATAGATGTACCCACGCTACCTGTGAGCTAATCTAGCTCAAGTGACAATAGCCACAAAACGTGGGTGGTGGCCCAGCCACCAGGTCCGCCCAGCCACCAGGTCCACCCAGAAGAACCCTGGGCGGCTTCAGGGCTTTAGTGGCTGGTGTGAGCCTGTCCAAGCTAGCTCAGCTCTATCTAATTCATCAAGTCTCCCCACTGCAGGACAGATAAAGTCCTGGATTTCCTGCAGGCCAGGGGTGAGAGTCCCAGCTCCAGGAGACAAGACTAGCGCCGATCTAAACATTGTGTAGCTGCCGCTGCACAAGCAGCAGGAAGGGCTACCTGCTCCGAGGGCACTCCCAACTCAAGCCACAGATACGTCCTCAGGGCCCCTGGCGTCTCCGGCTCACGCAGACGTGGCCTGCTCTTTTTTAGCTCGTGAGCTCAATCCGATCCAGTGCGTCTCTCATCCCCAGCTCAGAGTCTCTCACTAACCTCTGTCCTGCCACACCTGGGTAAGGCCCCTCTTAGTGGTAAACATGCAGCCGATCCCATGACCCATCTGCGTGGCTTCCCTGTGGAGTGCAGATGGAAAGGGCGTGGCTAAATCTGCCTAAGCCACCGAGTGTAAGCGGCCGAGCGGGAGGAGACACCGGAACACAGAGCACGGGCGTGCGACTGCTCAGTCCCCTATCGCCGAGCCCCACGCCTCAGAGGAAACCGAATGCCATCGGAGCGCACATGAAGCCCGCAGGCGGGTCGCATCCTGTT